TTGGGCATGGACATTGACTCACGATTCTTCTGTATCATTCTCAATTGGATGGTTACTCGGTTCCATTGTGCTATCTGCTTTGGCTTTGACTACTGTGACTTCAGTGTGATTTTGCATTCTGGATTTCTGTACTTCGTCCATATTCATGTTCCTTCCACTTCTTTGTATCGTTCCAATTTTAACAGATGTCCCAAAGGACTGAACAAACTATTTTTATTTTTATTTTTCTCAAACCTGACAACCTAGAACCTTGTAGAACATCAATAGGACTGCCCTGTTACTTGTAGAACCTCAATAGGATCACCCTGTTAAACATTGCTACCCTCAACCTTGTAGAACTTCAATAGGACTGCCCTATTACTTGTAGAACCTCAATAGGATCACCCTGTTACTTGAACATTGCTACCCTCGATCTTGTAGAACTTCAATAGGATTACCCTGTTACCTAAACATTGCTACCCTCACCCTTGTAGAACCTCAGTAGGATTACCCTGTTACTTGAGCATTGATTCCCTCATCCCAGTAGAACATCAATAGTATTGCCCTGTTACCTGTTACTTCAGCCTCGTAGCACCTCAACTACCCTGTTACCTGAACATTACCTTCACACTTGTAGAACATCAGTGAGATTACCCTGTTACTTGCATTACCCCCCCATTCCTTTCTGAGCAGTGATCGGCCCCGTCCCGTCCTTCACGGTTATTCATCAGGTCTTTGGCAGTCGAGACGTTGCCTTCTGGAGGGAGGGGATAGCGTTACGGAGTCAGCCAGGGCTCAATCCCTGGTCCCAAGTTACCACCCGCCAATGTTCATTTTTGGGTCTCTGTTCTCAGGCCCCTGACTGTTGGCGCCCTCTGCAGTTGGCGCCGGTTCTCCAATTCCTCTTTTGGCACTTTCGGATTTCGATACTTGGCACCATCCGGCATTCTGGCGCCCAGACTCAGACCTTCCATTTTGAGTTCAGCCCTGAGGCAATTTGCACTTCTGCCCTCGGGACTGAACTTGAGTCCGGTACTTAAGACCGGACTCATGCCCAGTACGGGCAAGCAGTTTTCAGCCTCATTGCTTGTGTTCAATGTGACTATGCTTCGACATTGTGTTTAGGAATCCAAGACTGCGACTTTGCGACTTTGCCACTTTGTGTCAGCGTCTGTCGAGTCATGTTGAGTCTGCGTCGAGTTGAGTGAGCGTGTATGTGTGCTCTCGCTCTCCCTCCCTCTCCCAGCCTCGCTGCCCTGTCTCCGCCTTGTTACAACTACCCCAACTGGGGCCTTCCATATGCAGCGCCTATCAAGGTGATGAAGATGGTGTCCACCATAGCCAGGTAAGTACCTTGCCACTCTCCTCCTCAGTCCTCTTCTCCCTCCTCCTCCTACCGGTAGATTTCCATCATAGCCGACGTGAGAGCTCCCGGCCTTCTTCTCCCAGCAGCGCTGTAGTACCCAACGCTCCTTCAGCCAGCGCTCCAGCAATGTGTCTTCAAACTTGCACACCAAAGAATGAGGCTGGGCTCTTCACTCGGCCTCAAGATATAGCGGCCTACTTGCCTCCTCGGCGGTGACTTCCAGGCTGCTCGGCCTCCCAGGCAACTGGTACCTCCTCCCTTTCGGAGGGAAACATCATTGCAGACTCTGATATTGCCCGTACAGGCCCTAGACTCAGACTGGATGCACTGGTACCCGCCTAGACCTAGTGTTACATGCTGCACATGCACACACGGGCCATTTCGCAGGCCCGACGTCGTTCAGGCCAAAAACCTGAAKTTCGGGCTTTAAGCCTGATATCCAAGGCTTACAGGCCCCGCCGACGGTTCAGCCTGACAGCCTGAGAAAGGACCTACAGGCTCCAGCCTGTTTCCCTACAGGGAAACTTCCAGGCTCTTGCCTGGAAGCTTCCTTCTGACAGGGCCTACAGGCCCCAGCCTATTTCCCTACAGGGAAACTTCCAGGCTCTTGCCTGGAAGCTTCCTTCTGACAGGGTCTACAGGCCCCAGCCTGTTTCCCTACAGGGAAACTTCCAGGCTCTTGCCTGGAAGCTTCCGCAGGGTCTAGGCCAGGGAGGCGTTGGCAAGAGCGGCCTCCTGCGAATGGGGCATTGGCAAGAGCGGCCTCCTGCGAATAGGGCATTGGCACGACCAGCCTCCTGCACGGGCCAGCACTATAAAGGATTGGCCCGCCCTACAGGGGGAGGCAGTCGGCAGTTGTAGTCTTCAGGATTCGGGAGCAGCCCTCTGGAGGGAGCGCTTCGTTATAGTAGTAGTAGCGTTAGCTAGTAGCCTTCGGCGCTGGGCGCCATAGCTAGGATAGTGATAGAGAGAGAGAGAGAGAGCTCGGGCAGAGGCCAGGGGTACCTACCTGCAGCGCCGTTGCTCCAGCTTCGTCTTCAAGGTACCTGCAGCACAGCGCCACATCACAGGTTAGTAACTGGTTCGTAACAGTGAGAGAGAGAGAGTTCTTCTTCCTCTTCTTCTCAGTCCACCATCTCCT